TGTCATGCAAAATATACACTTACAATGACACTATTTCGTGAAACAGTTCGAACATTAGGTACACAACGACATGAATATATTTTAAATTTAGATCAAAATCATCAAGTAATAGAAATTTATCTTTTCTTTTAGTTTTGACTAAATAAAATTTATTATTTGTTTTTGTTTAAATTAGATTTGTGGTTGTTTTGCTCTGACTGAATTAGCACATGGAAGTAATACAAAAGAAATGCGAACAACAGCAACATATGATCCAACAACTCAAGTAATGATTAGTTGTTTTAATTTTGAAAGAAAACTTCTTTTTTTTTTTTGAATTTTTATAATATAGGAATTTATTTTAAATACACCTGATATTGAAGCAATGAAATTTTGGGTTGGGTAAATTATTTATAATATATTATTTTATATTAGAAAATAAAAATAATTTTTTTAGTAATTTGGGTTATCAAGCAACACATGCTGTTGTTTATGCACAACTTTATACAAAAAATACTTGTTATGGTCTTCATCCATTTGTTGTACCAATTCGGTAGTTATTTAATTTTTATTGAGAATTGATTTTTTAAAATTAAATTTGTCATTTTTAAGTGATCCATTGACATATAAAACCTTTCATGGTATTGAAGCTGGTGATATTGGTGCTAAATGTGGATGGAATGGCCTTGATAATGGGTATGAAAATAATTTTGTTAATTGTAAAATTTAAAATATAAAAATTTTAGTTTTTTAATTTTTCGTAATTATCGAATTCCAAGAGAAAATCTACTTAATAAACATGGTGATGTTTTACCTGATGGAACATATAAAACTCAATTCAAAGTAATTAGTATATTTTATTTTTTATATTAATATTTTGATTAATTAAACGGTCGAAGTGTTGAAGGCAACAGATTCCTTATGAGCAAAGAGGCCATTCTCATAAATTCATCTTGAGTTGGAATAGTGCCTTCGTCACTAGAGAAGAATGATCTGACACATCTGTACAGTTATTATGTTTTCTCTTCGTTTTTTAACCATTTCTTAAGAAATTTTCAAATTAATTCTTTTTTTTAATTGCATTTACAAAGGAGTAACTTCTCAGAATTCTACGATGCATCACTCACAAATAATTCATGTATATAAAAAGTATATATTAGTCGTTTAATGCAGGATCGGTAGTGGCGACTAAAATTTTGAAATAAAAAAGCGAGAAAACAATTGTAGAGAACTCATGGACAAAAACCAGACGGTAACATCTTCAAAAATTGATTTGGTTCGTCGGAAATTTTAAGAAATCAAAGATCTATTTTTGTATCGCAGTGTCGGCTAATATTTTTTAAATTTTGCAATCATCGACGATGGTAGTTCAACCAAATCGACTTACGTTTTTAAAATACAAAAACAAAATAATTATAAAATTAATTAACTCAAGTATAAACGTATATGATCATATTAAAATTTAATGAGATTTCACAAGTCTTTGTTTTGCATTGAAATAAATAAGTACATCATAAGGATCAAAAATTTCACATTTAACGTAAAACAAGAATTTATATTCCGTATTTTTTCTCGTTATTAAACCTCTTATTACATATGCTCAAGGATTTACTTGAATCAAATAAATTCTTGCTAACAAAAAAAAAACTTGAAAACGAGGCGTCAAATTGGAAGAAGAAGAATGAGATGCAACAAGATACTGTCCCAGTTGACACATAACAAAATGAGAATAAATTGATTTGAAGGTGAATATAGGTTCAACTATGTATTTTGTTAAATGACAAACAAAAACAAGGAGAGAGAGAATAAGAATAATATGAATAGCTGAAGAAGTGTCTGACTGAAGGTAGCAGTCAAAAGGTCAAAAAAAAAAGAAATGAGCACGAGAAAGTGTATCGAAAACAAGGCAATCACAAATAGAAATAAGTGACGGATCTATCCGTCAGAGAAGGCAGTCGAAATCGAGCATTTTTAGGCAGGAGAAGAAACAAAAAATGCATTTGTTACTTTAACGTCCTTCATGAATGAGTCGAAAACTGTGCGTGATCATTTCTCTAGTGTGTGTACTAAACGAAGAGAAAGTATTTTTGGATTTTATACTTCTCTGAAGAAAAGTTAGTTCATATTTTTGACTTTATTGATAATGATAATTTTGATTTTAATATTTCATTTGTTAAGAAATAAACATATGAGAATTGATTCTAATAAATTTTCATCTGTAACTATCATTGAAAAAAGTAAATTGAAAGATAATTTTGTTTTTTTGTAATAATCATTGTTAATTTAACTGAATTTATTTCTTTCCTAAAAATCAATAATATTTTAAATAGACATCCAGTAAACGATTTGGTGCTAGTCTTGGTGCACTTTCATCAGGTCGTGTTGGTATTAGTAGTTTAACAATTGGTCTATTAATTAATTGTTGTACAATTGTTATTCGTTATTCATGTGTTCGAAAACAATTTGGACCATCAACTGGTGTAGAAATACCTGTTATTGAATATCAAACTCAAGTATTTATATTAAAATAAACAAATTATTTGTTATAAATTTCTTTCTTTCTTTCTTTTAGAATTGGCGTTTAATTCCCATAGTTGCATCACTTTATATTTATCGACATTTAGCATTATCAGTATTTGATAATTTAGCTGAATTTTATGCATTATCAATGTCAAATGATGAAGATGATCAAGATCTACTTGCATATATGGGTAGAGAACTTCATGCATTATCATGTTCATGTAAAGCAATATGTACTTGGAATACACAAAGAGCATGTCAAGAATGTCGAGAAGCATGTGGTGGTCATGGTTATTTATATGGTAACAAAATCATAATAGAACTTTTTCTTTTGTAATTAGATTCATTTTCTTTTTATAGCAACTGGTTTTGGTAATATTCGAAATGATAATGATCCATCATGTACATTTGAAGGTGATAATAATGTTATATTACAACAAACATCAAATTATATTTTATCAAATTATGAAGATATATATATAAATAGTAATTTTTAAAAAAACTAAATTCTATTGAAATAATTGCTTGATTATTTTTTTTTAAAGATACACCAATTAATAGTCCATTTAAAAGTATTCTTTTTATTGAACAAATGAGAAATACTCTTCGTGATAATCGTTGTTCTATTACGCCTGAATGTCATATCAAAGGTAAGAAAAAAAAAACACCTACTTATTTTGTATATTAAAAGACGTGGTGGTTGGAAATGCAGAAAGAAAGAAAAACAGAACGGATAAGATTATTTTTTCAGACGATTAATCATCTTGTTCTGTATAATTTACAATTTATACATGACATTGATCAAAAATTTAGGATTTAATATTTTTATCTAAATTCAATAAACGTCTAAATTCTATGAATTTATTTTTCTAGTCAATCTTTCAAGGTTTGTTTTCAACGAACTATTTTATTATCAATTTTATTTTTTAATATAAAATAAATATTCTTGAAAAAAATTCTGCGTAGTTAATAAATAATTATGCTGACTTATTTATACATATGATAGTTTCTGATTGAAGGATTCAATTGATTCTAGTCGCTGATTCCGCTTACATGAAATATCATCATTAAACAACTCATTTTATCCCATCCGTTAAATCCTTAGTTGTTCTATTCTAGACAAGACAGTTGATATTACCCAGGTGGGCTGCAATGAGCCAGTTCTAATAAAAGAACCGGAAGTTGTGACACAGCTCGGCTTATTCTCAATATTAAGCCTCATCCATCGAGAAGAAATATCATTAAATATTCTCATGCTGAAAAGTAACCTCCTGAACTCGACGCCTAGTATATTTTATTATAACCGGCAAATTTCCAATGCTTATCTAATTGTAAGAATTTTAAAATAACAAGCATTGACCATCACTTTTAGACATATAAGTCTAATTATACTAAATGAAAAATATTTTGATTATAATCGGATTATTTTGTCATGAAATTATAATTGATGAAGAAGATTTTAACCATTAAAAACGGCTAAAAACTTCCTAAATTGATTATAAATTTCATTTTGTTGTACAATAATCCGATTATAATCGAAGGTCTTTGCCCTAAGATAGACTATTATTTTATTCTTTCTCTAACCATTGACAATTTTAATCGGAAACGAAGTTATTTCCGGTAGATTAATGAATAATTTTTCTTATTCTGAAAACAAAAAAAGAAAATTTTCAAATTTAAATGTTTTCTTTTTTAAATAGACTTACTCAATGCTGTTGATTGGCTATTATGTTATATTCTTGAGAAATCGGCTAGAAAAATTGAACAATTAACAATGCGAAAAGATTTAACATCATTTGATTTAAAAAATGCAGCACAAGTTTATTATCTTCGAACATTATCAATTATTTATATTCAAGTAAAATATTTATAAAAAATAAAACAAAGAAGAAGATTTTTGACAATTTCTTTTTGTTTTAGCGTACAGCTATTTTTCGATTTTTTCAATATATTGAAAATAATGAAGAAATAGATGATAAATGTAAAAATGTTCTTGATAAATTATTATTGGTTTTTACATTAAAATTTCTCGAAGAAAATTTAAATTTATTATTTGAAGGAAATTATTTTAATAATGGTTCAATTAATATATGGATACAAAATCGTTTAATTGATTTATGTCATAATTTACGAAATGAAGCTGCTGCTTTAGTAGATGTTTTTGCACCACCTGATCATATACTTAATTCCGTTTTAGGTGTTACTGATGGAAAAGTAAAATTTTTAATTTTAGAAAATATTTTAAATATTTTGTTTTGTTTTAGGTTTATGAAGCGATTAATAAACAGATACATAGTAATAAACATACATTCTTAACACCAGCATGGATAAAACAAGATTTAATTCAACGTAGTAAACTTTGAGAATTTATTATTTTTTTATATGTGATTTTATATATTAAAAAATTTAATAAAAATATTTGTGATTACAGATTGATTCTGTTTTTTTTTTTAAGTTTTAGATCTCAGTATTCATTAATTTATTTTTGAATTCAAGAAAAAATGGGAGAAACGAAAGAAATTGAAAGGTAAATATGAGATTTTATTTAGACTTTTACGATTTATTCTTAGAAAAGAATCAAATTGAACCTCGTCCCGCCCCCCGAAAAAAAGAAACGTTAAATAGATCTTGTTGACCTCGAAAGATGCATAGATGAGATATTGATCAAATTCAACAAGTTCTATTTCTAGATTAAGACAAATATAAATTTAGAAAAAATATTATCATGTTTTATTTGAAAATTACAAATAAAAAATTAAAGATTTTCTTGGACGGACTATGAGAGGAAGTTTTCTCAAAAAAAAAAATAAACAAGATACTTTTCAGGTCTCATAACATAGAGTGAAAATTAGCTTAAAAGAGGACTATCTTAAAGAGTGTAAAATCCTACGTAAAATGAGTGATCACCGCATCTCTTATGACTTACCTTTAAAAGTTATATGCATCACAAAGCAAAATTTATTTTAGTATTGCGCAAAAAACATATTTTTATATTTGTTGTGATGTTTATAACGTTTTAAGAGAAGGTCGTAAGAAATGTGGTAAACACATATTTTATTCAGGATTTTACGCTCTTTAATATGAATCAAAATTAATTTTCACATAACTCTCAAGGATCGGAATACTACCACATTCGATTTTTCAGAAACCTGACTCTCATAGTCCATCTATGAAATTTCAATATAGACTAAATTTGATAGAGAATTTCATTAACTATTCAAACCGCTATTTAAATGTTAAATTAAATGCTTGGTATCGTAGAAAAAAATAGTCAAAAATACGTTGGTCTTATATTTTTGACTGTATATAAAAAGTTGTTTAATTAGTACTGTAGAAAATATACATTTCGAATAACTATATTAATCTTTTGGCAATTCAAATTGATGTCTAAGAAAATAAATTTATAATATAAGAAGATAAGAGACATAAGATTCTATATTTAATGAGGAAACATATCCAACTGTCTGATGTCTTTGGATTTTACATTAAGGCTATGAGTAGATCTTGATGAGATTAAGAACAACTTAAAACAATTAGCATTAACAATCTACTATTGGAGAGTTATGGCTGTTTTAATGAAAATTTTTACTGATGGCAAGGCATTTTTGAAAAACTTGAAAATAAAGAGTTTCAAATTGAAATAATGTTTATAGATACGTTTAATAGTTCTGAAATTTTAAACGAAAACGAACATGTCTTTCTCGAAAATATTCAATATCCAAGTAGATTTGATTACTGTGTGCTTCTATGGTAAACTAAGGACTTAATTTCAGCTTGAAAGTCTTTGTTTTGCATTTTTCGAAAAAACTTTACCGTTAGTAAAAATTTCATCAAAATTAACATAGCTCTTCAATAGTTGGCCATGGATGTGAACCGTTTTAAGTTTGTCTTAGTTTCATCGAGACTTACTCGCAACCTTAATGTGAAGTCTAATGGTGTCTGACAATTGGATATATTTTTTTCGTTGGATTCATAAATTAAAAAAATCTAATATTTATTTATTTTTCTCTTTGATTTAGATCAGTACAAATGCGTTTATATGCATTGCATAAACGTCAATTCGTAGCTGTTTTTGTTCTCTTTTTTATCTGTTTATTTATTACTATTTTAATTGGTATTGCTGGTCCTTCTATAATTCAATCGAGTGACTATAAACCAGAAGATCAACAAAAACAAATAGTAAAATCAAATCACTTTAATACAAATTTTTATGCGAAACTTTGTTTTATTTTTCATTTAGTCTGGTCCTTATAAACTTGAATCGGGCAAACTTGATAAATCCTATCAACGTCTTTGGTTAACTATGAAAACAACAACTGATATCAGTGGTAAAAAGAAAACTATATATATAAATATGATTCAGAAAAAAAAGGAAATTTAATATTATTTATTGAAGATGATTTTCATCAATCAGTCATCGTCAATATTTCTATGAGTAACCCGCCTCCATCAACAAATTCACAAACCTACGAACGTCAACGAACCATCCATTGTCAAAAACAAGTTAGTAATAAAAAAAAAACGATAAAGAGTTTTTCGATAGAAGTAATAGAAGGAGATTATGTTTAACACATTGGTACTTGTTGAACGTATGATGCTGTTTGTACTAATTTTGGTGCTTGTGCGGTTGGACCATGTGGTACTTGAACATGATAAGTGCCACCACATAATGGTGCACTAGGAGATTCATGAACTACACGTTGTTGAATAACTGGCGGAGGTTTTGTTGGTATTTCGACAACTTGATAAACATATTTTTTTGGTTGAGGAACAACGACAACTCTATCAATTACATCTGGTGGTGGATCAGGTAATCGTTGTCGTACGACTTGAATTTGTGGTGCTGGTTCAGGTGCATAATAAATTTCTTGATAACGTCGCGGTTGATAACTACAATCAACAGTTATCGGTGCATTGCAACAAGGTATAAATGTAGTATAGCTAGCACAAGGATCACAACATACGGTACTGTTACACATACATGCCATTTGATACTACTAGCTTGACGAAAGAAATATTTGGTGGATAGAAATAGTTTGTGATGAAGATATTCTTTTTTTAGTAAGGTATACAGATAATTATTTTCTGTTTACCGCAATCACGCAAGCATGACTATCTTATAATATGTATATATGGTTGTTATGAATGTGTTTACGTGTTTTTATTATAGTCCTAAGTGTCCTTCTAATATGTGTGATCGTAGTATTTCTTTTTTTTTTCCTTACAATTGAGAAAAAAAAAATCGTATATCCCTGTTATTCATTAGATGCATATGAAACAGTTATGTTTTCTTTTTTCTCTTTTTCTTATATATATTAGATATGAACGCTAAGTAAAGCGTAAATAGTATCTAATGTAATGAATTTACTCTCGATATATATTAAATATTCTTCAATTAATAACAAATTCATTCGTATGATATGGATAATTGAGTTGTATGAGAATATATTATTGATATTTTGAATATATTTTAGAAAATGAAGTATTTATTCGAGAGAAACAAAAACAAGAAGTTAATAAAATGAAATCAATTCATCGTTATACTGTTGTCCCTACGAGAATATCCATGATGAAGATAAAGAACCGAGACACTAGTTAAAATTTTAATTTGTGATTTTTTTTATATGCATTCGAAAGGCCATCATTAAAAACCACCAAACCTCCATGCGCTTAGTTAATTTCGATGTTTTATAGTCACTTTAACCTTGATCGATGTTTCAGCAGTGTCTACCTATTATCAAGGAAATCGTCTTTAATTATCACATATGTATATATATATATATACAAGGATTATACTTTCACAAGTTAGAGAATTTTTTTTGTGCAATACATCAAAAGATAGAACATCAATCACTGAAGAAAATACACGATTGAAAATATTGTATGTCATTTATTTACTTAGTCAAGATGAGTTGTGAAGGTCACAATTTAACAGTCTATCATATATATGTTTGTTGACACAATGTCTACTGCCATTTTTTTGAAGTCAAACGAAGCCACACTGCATTTTTGACATATTATTTTAATTTTGGTTCTGTGCAAAAATAAAAAAAGAAACAACGAAAAGAAAAATTTACCTTCAACGTAAGATGAGGGTTACTTTATCATTAGACAGGTAAACACAGCTTCAAGGCAAACGATCATGGGCGCTTTTTCTTATCTTTTATTAATGGCAATGCTAATTTTGACACGTTTAGAACGTCGTCTTGTCTACAAGTATACATAAAGGTCTTTCGAAAAGCTAAAAATAGAAATTTCGATTCCTACACCGCTGTGTGAGACCACGAGAATTTCGAAAAAAATATTATGCAAAATCGGATAATAATTATCCACATTGATAAAGTATGGAATGTTGATCATAGTCATGTGATTAAAGTCCATTACCAATTGTAATTTAGTGAACTAGGATTGACATCTCAGTATCGTTTAGTTGCCATGAATCCTCTTATTATTCATTACAAGAATGCTCTAAATACTACTAGATTACGATTGATAATGAACTTCAATCATATGATTATGATCAACGTTCCATGCTTTATCGATATGCTTATTATCCTCTTTTGCCAAAATTTTTTTTTTAAACTCTTCTGGTCGCTTTCAGAGAATGTAGAAGGTCAGAATTCTTGTTTTCGTTGCTTGAAAAAACTGTCTATATAAGTCTAGCCAAGTTGAAGTTCTAATTTTTTCAATTAGAAAATTGAAAATTAATGAATAACAAAAAAGTGCTCGTGATCGTTTTCTTTGAGTTTGTTTATCTGTCTATTGGTAGAGTAACGTTCACATTGCCTCAAGGATGAACTTTGTTTCTTCGATATTTTTTTTATTATTTTGTGAAGAATCAAAATTTAAATAACATGTCAAAAATTCAGTGTGTGTTCGTTTGATTTCGAAAAAATGGCAATAGACATTGTGCCAACAAAAAAAAATGTGATAGACTGTTAAATTATGACCTTCACCACTCATCTTGACTCAGTAAATAAATGACATGCAATATTTTAAATCGGTTTTTTTTTCAACGATGGATATTCTGACTTTTGATATATTGCATAAAAAAATTCTCTAACTTGTGAAAGTATAATCCTTGTATATATATATATACATATGTGATAATTAAAGATGATTTCCTTGATAATAGGTAGATAGTGTTGTAAAATCAATGAAGGGTAACTTTACCAAATAATATCGAAATGAGTTAAATATTTGGGTTTAGTGGTTTTTAATGATGACCTTTTGAATGCATATAAAAAAATTAAAAAAATTACATTTTTACGTGTTTCGTGCACTGAGATAATCCTCAGTATACCTCATGGAACATCTCTGAATTATTCAGGTCACAATGTATAATGATGAAACTTACTTGATTTAATGATTTGACTGAAGTTACTGGGACATGAAGACAAAAGATTCTAATCAGCTTTTTTCTTATCTTTCTTGATATGATAATATAACCTTCTTTTTGCTTAAGAGTCCGCCATTGCTTTTCTATATTTACGTATGAATGTATATTTATTATGTAATTGTGGGACAATGGTATTCATATGAAATCCATTCATTTAGTTGTCTCATCAATCACCTTCAGATATGTTCATGGACGTTTCTTTTTGTTCTTGTTCAAAGTCGTGTATACATGTGAATGCACGTTTCACTGGCGTAGATGCTTTATACACGATTGAAAATGATCGTATCGACCGAACAATATGCATTTGTTCGTAATTTTATGTGTATCGCTGCAATTAAAAGAGAAGGTTTCTATTTATTGGATTCACTATTCTACATCAATGCTAAATTAAAGAACAAAATCAAGTTATTGGCATGTGTTCAATTGTGTCCATAAACCTTGATTTGGTTGAATAAGTACAGATAGATACTCATAAATGCCCTTCATACGTTGGATCCAGTTTTTTTTTCGCGTGTATTACTTCGTGGTTGATCAGGGTCAAATACGAAAAAAAAGATGTTCATGGTCAAAAGCTAACTGTAGTATAAATACGACTATTCTGAATCGGTTTGTTTTATACTCAGCTGTTTGTAGTCGTGAATACACACAACTTCTAACTCCTCTAAATCTAGGTAAGCATTGTGAGCGGTTTAGTTCTCTTTTTTTGTTTTTCCTCATTACTCAGTCTTTTTTGATATTATCACTGTCGCCATCATCACCACCGTCACCAATAGTACTAACACATGAACTACATCTTCAAGTTTGTGGATTCATACATATAGAAAGGAATAGAAAAAGAAAAGAGTAACAAGAAGCGTAGATCGTAAAGAATCGATTGTGTAGAACTTTAGTATTGCTGGTTATCGAGAGAATTGAATCGAGTTATTATTCAAAAATAGATCATACGCATACTCAAGAGTAATCGATCGTATCGCACAGTTTAGTATCCCCTTCTTATGTCCTTAAATATTCTCGTATTCATAAATCAGAAATAGTATGAGTAAACCCACACAGGAATGGGTCCTTTTAATCAAAATACAACACAAACGGAAACTTACGAATCATCTTCCAAACAACCAGAGAGCACCAGCGGAGCTGTAGGTGATATTAAACAAAATATTCATAGTCATCATGGCCCCAATGCACATAGAAAACATTCAAGAACAATATCCAGTACAAGTTCACGAAGCTTATATGATAACAAACATAATTCAGCCGGTCCTCGTTTTCATGCAGATGGTGGAAAAGTAGCAGGTGCTGGTAACTACATTTATGGCGAACAACAACAATATAGTGCAGGTGGTAGTGGTGTTAACGATCCTTATGGTGTTTTTGGTAGTTACAATGAATTTTATTATGGCAATCAAGCTGTTTCCGATGAATCAAGTGATATATATCGTCGTCGTCGGCGTCATGGATATACTCGTCATCAAACCATTCGTTTACCAGATCAACCAAGCATTGTACGACAAGTACGACGTCGATTGTCTACACCAGAACCAGATATTATCGAACGTGTTTACATTCGTCGTCAATTAAATGACATTATAGAAGAAATCATTGAAGAACCAACAACGCCACCACCTCGCCTTCAAGAACGCACTATTGTTGAACAATCTTCACCATCTCAAGTTATACGCAAAGTAGTTCGTGTACCGCATCGTAGTCAAATTCATGAATATCAACACCAAGAAACACTTGACAAATATGGAAGTTTAAGCGGTGCAAATGCACCAGGAGCTGGTTATGGTGTTTATGGAGCCGGCTATGGACAATCAGGACAAGGATATAATACAAGTGGTAATTACCATCAGTTAAGTGATAATATTGAAATTCAAAAACAAGGACCACAAGGTTATGGACAAACTGGTCAACAACGTTATCAAGAACCACAGCAACCAGTAGCTGGTGCTCATTTTAATTATAATGCATCTAATACACAAGGCTTAGCTAGTGCTGGCATGTATCCACCTCAACCAGTAGCACCTCCATCGAACTTTTCACAAAATGCCTTTGGCTTTGAGACAGGAGGTATTGGTGGTCCAGCATCTTCCCTACCCCAACCATCACTTTCTAGTTATGGTCCAAGTCCTCAGGGCTTGGGCGGATTAGTAGGAGCCGCAAATTTTGCAGCGCAAGGATTCGGACTTTTAGGAGTACCACCGAATTTCGGATTGGCTCCAAATTTTGGAGTACAATCAGGTTTAGGAGTAGCACCAAATTTAGGAGCGGCACCATATTTTTGTGCAGGAGCCAGTTTTGGAGCAGCTCCATCTTTTGGAGGAACATCAGTTGGTCAAATAGGAGGACTTTCTAGTAGTGGTTTTGGCGGTGGTGCAATAGGTTATGGTGGCGGCTTTGGCAGGGGGCAACTAAGTAACCCTGGCAGCTACGGAGCCGGCACTAGCTTCGGAGGTGCATTTTTCGGTGCCCAAGGCTTGGTAGACTGTGCAGCTCTATTTAATCCATTCGCTGGCGGTTTTAGTAGTTCTGCAATGTCTTGCTGTGGTGGTGGAATGGGAGCTGCATTAGGTGGATATGGTGGTGGAATGGGAGCTGCATTAGGTGGATATGGTGGTGGAATGACAGGTGGATATGGTGGCGGAATGACAGGTGGATTTGCTAGCCCAATGGGAGGTGGATATGGTGGTGCAATGTTAGGTGGACTAAGTGGATATGGTAGCGCAATGGGAGGTGGATATGGTAGCGCAATGGGAGGTGGATATGGTGGTATGATGGGTGGTGGATATGGTGGTATGATGGGTGGTGGATATGATAGTATGATGGGCGGCGGATATGGTGGTATGATGGGTGGCGGATATGGTGGTGGGTATGGCGGTATGAATCCATGTCTTCCTGCTGCACCACCAATGGTATGCGCCCCACCACCTGTGATTCAACAAGTTCCATGTCCCGTACCCGTACCACAACCTTACCCATGTCCTGTGCCCGTGCCACAACCTCAACCTGTTCCTGTTCCATATGCTGTACGCGAATGTGTACCTGTACCGTAAGTTATCACTTTTTATTGTTGAAAATGTTTAAACTTTACTGATCGATGTTTTTTTTTCATTCATTTTTATAGGCAACCTTGTCCAGTTCCTGTACCGGTTCCAGTTCCACAGATTCAAATACAAGTAAGAAAATACTGTACTTTAGTTTTAAACACAATTGCGCATATCGGCTTCACTTTAGTATGACATTAAATTAATACTAATTGCAATCATTTGTATTAGAACCTTAATATAAAAGCATTGCAATAAGTATCAATTTTTGTAGAATGCTAAGGCTAAGTCGACACGCCTAAACATAACAGATTCTGTAGAATTCAAAATTAGTTTTAATTGATTTTTTCCCTAAAATAGTTGTCTTTGTTGATAATTTTTCTTCGTTTAATTGTAGCATGTACCTGTACCTGTTCCACAGCCGTACCCAGTACCAGTTCCTGTACCTGTCGATCGTATTGTCTGCCAGCCAGTGTAAGTGTAACATTTATCACAAATACACTTATCGCTTTGTTGTGCTTCAGGTGTGTTCCTGTTCCTCAACCAGTTCCACACCCAGTGCCTGTTCCTGTGCCTCAACCATGCCCCGTACCAGTTCATGTTCCAGGACCCATGCAAGTGAGTTATTCAATAATTTATTGTTCAATTTATTCCATTATAGAAATCATATGGAGAATAACTAGACATCATTTTTCCTTTATTTCTCGCAATAGGCTATACCCGTACCTGTTCCTCAGCCATGTCCTGTTCCAGTGCCTCAACCTTGTCCAGTTCCAGTTCCAGTTCCTAGTCCACCTCAATGTATACCTGTTCCAGTTCCTATGCCCGTGTCTCAACCAATGTGTATGCCTCAACCGATGTGTATGCCAGCTCCAGTAGCTAGTCCATGCGCCGGGTATGTTGAGTATTCAATTTTTTTCTCGTATCATTTTTATATTTCTTCACATATTTGTTTTGTGCTTAGATTGGGAGCTTATGGTGGTGGATTTGGCGGTGGATTTGGCGGTGGATTTGGCGGTGGATTTGGAGGTTTTGGCGGTGGGCTAGCACTTCCACCTCTTATGGGCGGAGGTCTTGGTTTATATGGGTAAGTCATTGTCAATAGTTTTAATTCATGATGCTCATGTTGTTTTATTTATGTATAGTGGTGGAATGGGATGTGGAGGTGGTCTTGGACTCTTAGGTGGTCTTGGAGGTTTAGGTGGTGGTCTTGGAGGATTGGGTGGTGGAATCGGTGGTATACCACTTGGTTTTGGTGTGACAACAACAACGGGTGGCATCGGTCCATATGGAAACAATTTCGGTGGATATGGAGGTGGCTTATATGGAGGAACTCTTGGATATGGATCAGGATACGATTTCGCCACTGGACCTGGTTCTGGACGCCGCTATGGTCGCACTTCCTATCGCCGATAATTAAAAATCAAATTGTCGATCGATTACTTTCCTGAATGAATTAATTCAACAAAACGATAAAAACGACAAGAAGTATTCGCATAACATGTTAGAGTTACTAAAAGATCAGCGAACGTTACAAACGTCTCTCGATCCCTTTCTTTTCATCTTTACCTCAGGGCTTTCATTTATATCTTATTTTACTCATATTTATCCTTGGCTTATTCTCGTTTCTTTTCCCATCATTTTATGCTTTGAACAATTTTCTAGTTGCTTATTGATTTTCATTGTCACGTGTTCTCCAATTTTGCATGTTTTCATGCTTTTTCTTTGTTTCTATTCATGGAAACATTCAGATAAGTACATATTGTTATTCGTATTTGTCTGTTACATTTTCCGCTTAGGTTTATTTTATCGATTTTTTCGTCTTTTTTCCTTCTCATTAGTAAAATAAATTCACATCTCAATTCTCTTTTTTTTTATTTCTTTCCTCTTATTCTCCTATTCCCTTCACTTTTCCCTTTTCCAAGATCTTAAGTCTTTTTTTTTCGATTTGCGCTAATTTAAACGTATCATATGATGCAATTATATTATGAATAGGCGTTCAATTGTTGTTGTTCTCATGGTTGTTATAATTCGATGGATATTTGATTGTTGGTTGTTGATGTTAAAAGCATGTTGTGAAGCTGTAATAGTAGTAGGACTTTTGACAGTAATCAAAGTTGAATATATTCATTTATTGATTGTTGAAAGAAAAAAAAGATACATTAATGTATCTGAATATCTTGAACATTAGTAATTTGCGATATTAGACATAAGGATAAGTTTATATATAATTAAGTATAAGATGTTAGGTTTTCGTCTGAAATTTAATGTCTATTAATAATCATATTTTATATCTCTAGGTTTGCAATCAACTTATCTTATTCCATTTGAACTTTTTACATGAAAATATATATCAGTTTGAAATAAAACTTAATGGAATCGACGAAGAACAACAACCTAAGAAAATAAAAAATGTTCAATTTTCCGTGAGAAAATTTTATTTTTATTTTTGTATTTATATATATATATGTGAAACAATTTTTTTAATTATTTCTTTAGTTAAATACATTCAATCCAAAATTTACTGAATTTGAACTTGCCTTTCGTTTTTTCTTCTTAATATGCGCTATTGTAACAACGGTATGTGACATAAATATCTTGAAAGAGAAAATTTACAAAAACTACCTCTTCTGAATGTTCAAGTTAAACATTTTTCGTTTATTGGTTTTTCATCACTAATATTCCTTCGAAAGATTCTCTATAAAATTTGATATAAACGACATCTCTTCGTTGTTAGTGAGTACTTTCATTCAGTCCAACTCTCGAAATCCCTAGCAGAAAAACCCGTAACATGATTATTCTTTGTATGCAAAATTTACCTAATGATGATTTCTAAAGATGCGAAAATAATGGGTCATATACTTCTAACATTGCTGAACACGGTCAGTTTTCGACCACTTTAGTTGGAGGGAAAAAAAACCTTCTGATACATACAGAAAAATTTGTTTTTCATTTTTCTCAAGATCAATTTTTACACAAAAAATTGTAGAATCATTCTCGTTTCTCCAACTGGAGACTGTTTCATGTGTTTAATTTTTTTTCTTTTTGAAAAATATTACAACCTTGACTTTTGACCAATTTTACAAACAAACGTGGATGTTTTGGAGATATGCTCAGTATTTTGATCTCTTTATTCAAATGGAAGGAGATTCAAAGAAAACAAAAAAACCTAGTTACTTCAAACAGTGTCTAGTGCCTATTAAAGAAACTTCAGCTCTATCGGACCTATTGTGGCTAGGAAAATGAGATCATTTTTAACTTGTACGATCCAGATATTTGCTTGAAATGAGTATTTAGAGCCTAGGACAACTTTTGCTCTATTCATCAAGATCTATCTATCATATAGTTTACAAAATATACTCAATAAATACTGAAGATTTGAGTTAAATTTTATTGAATTATAAAACAATGATTTGTTCTTTTTTCTAAAGTGCCTTTTTACAAAATCGATGCGTCGATTTTCAATTTTGGATTGGTCATTAGAACAACGATGGATGATATTTTTGCTCATATTTCTCGTTTTTTACAACGGTAAAATTAAAGCATTTCTTTGTTTTTATTAATACAATGAATATTCTCTCGTATAGATCCATTTTATCCATTAACATTCTTAGTAGATAGTTCTTTTCCATCAATTCTTGATGGAGTTTTACAAGCAACTTTTCTTTGTACATTATTACTTTTTTGGTTAAGTGTTTATCATGGAATTCGTCAAGTTTGTTCTTATATTCAATCTTATAATTATTTATTTTATTTTGATTTTTTTTTGTTCCAGAATGTTCGTCGATTTATTCCATTTTATTTACCAAAAATAATACTTGTTAGTTTTCTTTGGATATTTTCTGTTGTACTTTCATCAGTACGTATTGGACAAGAATTCCGTGATCCAATGTATAATATGACAATTGATATAAGACAATTTACTGTAAGTTAAATGAATTATAACAAAAACAAACGAAAATGATTATTTAAAATACATTTATTTAGACATTTCGTATTATCTTCTATATTGTTGGAATCGTTTATATTCTATACTTATTATTTCTTATTATTCGAGCATTTGGTGAACTTCGTAATATGCCGTATTTTGGTATGCATTATTATTTAATTGTATTTTCGAAAGATTGAAAAGTCATTAGACCAAGACCTAGCTTACCTGATTAATCGCTATAAAATGTCTTGTACCTATGAATAGTTGGTACATTCCGTAGTGTTCAGCAGAACGAAATAGTACTTCGCGATATTCATTTTGTAAAACACGATCTAACAGAAGTGTTGAAGTATAGAGGTAAATATTTTCTTTCCGTTCCACAGACTGGATAGATGTCTTGGTAAAAAATCGTCAATAGAGCCCGTCGAGTCGAACTTCGGTCGAAAATTTTTACATCTGATGAGTTCTAGTCATCTGAGAAATGTGTACGATCAGAAAATTTCATTGAAAGTATCAAAGTATGGTTCGATCGGCTTCGAAAATTTTTGCACTTGACTGACTTTACTCATCACAAATCGTGACATATATAACTGCGAGATTAGTGTGATAGTTATCCTTTACTTTTCTTTCATTATCGACATGTATTAACAGTAGGTAGAAATTCATCGATCGAAACATATATGTATATATTGATGAATTCACTTTTTTACAATACTAGGAAATCTACCGTGTTTCACATTTTAATTTCACCAGCATTGCACTATTCATTAAAATGTGGTTCTTGAAAATATGAATTTCGATCACACTGTAGTTATAGAGTTCTGCTCAACAAATCGTATTTCGAGATATGGTAATTTGTGTCAGTAGACAAAAAGTACTATATGAATTTCGTAATTAAAATGCTTCACTTGTGGTCATCAGTTCTTCAATCAGTAGTTAGATTACAGAAGAAACTATATGAACATCCACAATGTCAAGGGTGAGCTAGTATGAGTATGTACTCGTGCGCGATGGACTGCGCTGTTTTGCTGAGTATTACGGAGTTTGCCAACTATTTTTAAGGATCAGACTTTTTATCGGAATTAATGAGGTAAACTTGTACCCTAACCGAATTTCATTTGACTCGCATTTTGTTTTATTTTCCAATAATTTTTATTTAGATGTTCGTTTGAAATTTACAACTCTGTTAATGCTTTGTGTCGTATCAATTTCAATTATTATTACAACATTACGATTTGGTTCAGGCATTATTGAAGAAAATTTCGTACCAGAACTAGCATCACGTTATAAAAATTCTGTAGAATTTCTATCATTCTATAGTCTTATAAATTTATATCTTTATACAATGGCATATGTTTATTCTCCAGCAAAAAATGCTGCTGTTGATTCATTATTTCGCGATAATCCAACATTCTCAATGATTAATGATTCGGACGAAGAAGTTGTTTATGGGTAAATAAAATACAATAAGATATTTTGTTTATTATTTATCCTTGTGATTTATTTAGATCTGATCATGAAGTATCTCGATTAACATCAATAGAAAGATAATTATCTCATATTCATAATCTTAACATTTTATCTTATTTTTGTTTCGTCTTTCAGTTTTAATGGATTGGGAATTCATTTATCTTTTATCTCTTTGTCTTCGTTTATATATTTAATTGACCGTTGTTATTAAATATAATATATAATTATCTCCGTTGTTCTTTAGTTCAATCGTAAAAAAATAATAAATTTTGAAGAGTTATCTATAAAATAAAAGTTATAATATATAAAACAATTATTAAACAGAAAAAAAAAGAGAAAGACAAAGCACTACTCGTCTTTGTATTAATACTGAATATATACAGAGATATATTTATGAAATCGATTTAATGATGTGAAGAATTCTTTCTAAATCATTCGACTTAGATTTCGATGAAGTATGATATATTCTTTAATTGAAGGTGACGAAATGCATGATCGAGAAAGTTGAGACTTCACAGCTGAAAAACTATTAATTCTATTTGATCTTGAATCTCTAAAAAAAAGATTCAATTTTATCCAACATCGGAAAAGTTCAATAAAAATATTACCAAATAATTATTTTTAGTATAATAAATAAGATTACTAAATAATTTTATGAATATCATTTGAAACTATTGAATATGTTAAATGAAGCATTCTTACTTGAAAAATAATCAATTAGAGATTTTTAACACAAAAATAAAGCCAAAGGTATGATGCACAAAAGAAAAACATTGAAAGTCTCATTGATCAATGAATCAAAAAAAAGAAAATAGAATTATATTATATGAATGAATAGTTTTATTTCAATTAGAAGTCATAAGTCTCAATAATATTGATAAAGTCTATTCAATCAATAAAAAATTAGAAATATGATGTATCATGTAAAAAAAAATTAGTTAATTAACGACTTTATAAACATCTTTTATTGTCATATTTTAATCAAATGATCACACTTCCAATATTCATTGTACTAAGTTTTAACTTAAAATTGAAAAAACCTTTTATTCATGTAATAAATATATACAGTCAAAATTTGCTGTAACTGTAAAAGAAAATACTACGATTCATTTTGTTGCTCTGTATTTTCTATATCAGCACCAGCTATTTTTAAGTCAATATTAATTGTCGTGCTCATTGTATCATTTATTTCATCATCAATATCAGTTAAACTAACCATTGATTTAATTGTATCATTTAATATTTGTGAATCATTATCTTCATCATTTCCTATTTTGTCTAATGAATCTAATGATTTTTTCAAAACTTTATGATGTTTCTTTTTTGTATCATGTTTTTTCTTAATACGTGGTGGTGGAGGACTCCATGATAATTGTTGCATATCATCTGTTGTTGTTGCTTTTTTCGTAAAATAACCAAATGGACGTACAGGTGGAAAAATATAATTCGTTGCAGGTTGATGTTGTGATTGATGAAGTTGAGGTAAAGTTGATTCAATTTGTTCAGCAGAGGAATTAAATGGATCAACAATAGTTAACTTATTACAAACACATAATTGTTTCTCTGTACGCATTAATGTTTTTTCACGCAACTCTTGAATTCGTCTATCATGTGAACTCATTGCTGTTGGTTGTCGTTCTTGAACAATAAGTGAATTTAACCGTGGTCGACTTTGCTCAGGTGAATTAATGGAACGCTGATTTAATAAAGGTAAATCATTATTATGAATTCGTTCTCGTGTCCTATATTGATAAATAAGTCCCTGATGCATTGTTGGTTCTCGATATGTTCGTGATGGTGTCGTTGGAAATGTTGGAGCATTGAAACGATATTCAGTTAACGCTTGTGGCTGTTTTATTGGACGTGCATGATGTTGATGATGTGATTTTGTTATTATAGTTCGATCATTTGTTGAAATATTACTTGATATATATGTTGATGCACTGTCCAAATAATCTGCTGGACGACGAACAAGACGAAACTCTGCACGACGAAACTGTTTTATAAGATCATCAAGTGTTCCAACACGTATAGAATTACCTTCAATACCACTTAAATCATCACTAACGATTGTTTTCATTGTATTTGTTGACGTGGTTATTGATGTTGGTTGTCGTGTAAGTGTTTTTGTTGATGTTGATGAAGGCATTGAACTTAATGTATCATTTAAATTTGGGTTTGCATGATGATTATGATGTATTTGTTGATGATGATAATTTCGTTGTTGATGACGATGATGTCGACGACGTATATGCTTTTCTCGTAATGTATCAATATTTAAATCAGATTTCATACGAAGTTTATAAGCAAGACGATCAAGTGTTAAGACATTTTTTTGATTATCCATTAATTCATGAAAAGCAAGGATCGATGATTGCTGTTCAGGTATTAATCGATTTGAATGCGCTGCTGCTGGTTGAGATGTTTTTGGAAAATATGGTTTACTCATGGAATATTCTCGATATGGGTTTGAATTTAAATATTGCTCTAATCGAAGAAGACTTGATTCACTTAAAGAATCGAGTGTCATGGTTGTCGAATCAGTAGAATCTAAACAAACTTAATTGATCATTATAAATAATATGATTAGTTAAGAAAAGAGTGTGCATTTGATTGATATCTTGAAAAAAAACAAAATTTTTATTTGAAACCATAGCAAACATTTACTTCAAGAAACATTGGGAATAATCAATGAACGATGGTAAATTCAAGATAGTACTTTCATTCATTAAGATAATCAAATTTAGTTTTAATATTCATCAAATATATTAAATTTACAATCATATCAACAAAACATAAAAATTCCATCTGATTTAATAATTATCTATCTACTATTCCATTGAAAACCCTTGGTTTATACTACGATGCTTTAATGTAAAATATACTTAGAAAGATCATTTAACATGATTTTAGGGCACAAAGAAAACAAATAATGTTACTAAAAGTTTTTAAAATAACATCGACGGAGTTACATAGGATCAACAATCAATCATCTTACTAGAAGTACAACTTCAATATCTACCTCTCTCTGTTCACTTCATCTTTTGATGTCTCTTTCTTGATTTTTTTTACTCTTTGTGTCTTCAGGTATTGTTGCTTAGGAAACATTATGTTTAACAATATAATTCATAGAAATATAATTTAAAAAAAGATTTCGAATAAACTTTCACTACCCTATTCGGCTTTTCTTTTTTAAGACTTCAACTAATTACGAATGACTCATCTTCGTTTTAGAGAATAAATTCTACAATTAGAAAATATCATAACAAAGAACACTTGGCACATCTTCTTACCATTAGAAAAACTTGACTAGTGTGTTTTTATCTGACTCATATTCAACAACAAATCATACATTTCTTGTTCTCTTTCATAAAAAATGTTTCTATTTTAATCTCGTTTTTTTTTAGATGTAGACAATGCATAGAGCTTCCAAAAGCAAATACGTATTTAGTCAAATTTTGTAGTATTTCATAAAAAAAACAAAAGTCTATGATTATCTTAATCAAAACAATTATACATTTGTTACAAACAATCAGCCATAGAATCACCAACCTGTTTAAATATTTTTCTTCTTCTTTACAAAATTGTTGATGTTGTCGTAAATCAAACTTTATTTACAATGCCACTGTCTTTCTGTCGATGTTGGTAGTGATAAACGTCGTGTTTATGTGTGCATGTCGAGTAACAAAGAGAGAGAGAGAGAAAGAAGCTTTTTGACAAACATGAGCGGAAAAAGAGAAAATGGGTAGTAGATGGGAGGGGGGGATGGCTAAGAAAAAGAAAAGTGATTTTTAAAAAGTCGCTCAAGTGCCCATCGGGTGTACAGGTTGTGCATAAAGTGAAAAAAAAGAAAAAAGAAAAGAAAAGAAATGGAAATTGCTAACAAAACAATTAATAAAAATTTTCTATCAAAATCGTTGAAATTTATTTAATAAAATAATTGATAAAAAACAATTAGAAAAACAATAGAATAAATCAGTGATTTAGATGATATTATTGAAGATGTTCTATTACATAAATCAACTGAACAACATGTTTGACTAATAAATGAACCCATACTTATATCAGGTATAAAAGTACATCGTTTTTCTCCACAGCCACGTCTTATTTTTCCAGCTGTAATTCCTTTCCAACAAAGTTTTGTATTTAAACACTCGATTTCATAGACGTTACCATCACCTACATTTTCTGCTGGATTTAAACATGGATCAATGGGCTTTTGTTTATTATGTGTTTCACCAACACATGAGTAACAACGAATTCCAAAAACCAAATCAATATGAACAAAAACTATGATATATATATATAATTTCATCATTTATTCAATACCTTTGTACATAAATAACCACGTGAAGAAGAAAACTTACATACGCAAACACCTTGACAGAATGAATAAAAAGTGAAAATAAAACGATATAAAATGGACTGCACGAAGAATGAAGAGAAATATCTTGATTTATATTCTAATGAATACAGCTCACATCATTTTCTGTCATCAAATATTAGCTTCAAATCCTTGCATGTGCATTTATTTCATAAGCATCAAGCAATTTGATCTATTGTATTCGTATACAAAAGAAAAAAAACCTTGCATACTTTATCACCAAAGGTATTACTCTTACAGATAGACAATCGTTCAGAATGATTGTGTAAATATAGTGTTGTATACAGTATCGTTTATAGTCTTTATGACCTTATCTTATCTCATTTTTTGTTAGGTATCTAACGGCAATATTCGTTTTGTTTTACTATTTCAAACATACTTGCTGTCTTTTTTTTAATGAGTCAAATAGAAAGGCTTTGATAGCTATCTTTTGTTTTTTTATTAGTCCTATTATATGAATAGCGTCCTTCAAGACTCTTCAAGTGTAGTTTTTGTTGATATTCATTCATTATTAATAGATTTCTAATGCAATTAATTCTAGATTAACATATTATGAAATCGAATCTGTCGTTCTTTAAGACTGACTCGAAACAAAATAATTAACTGTATTCACGAAAGAAAAAAATCAACATTAAATTTATATGAATTCCAGTTGTCATGAAACATAGATGTTCAAGTTTTCTCTCGACTGATATTTAAGAATAGCAATTTTTTAACCATAGTAAAAAAACTATGCTGAATTTAGATATTTTTTAATTCATGAATTTGTTAACTAGATTCAAAGTTTTGTAATATAGAATAGTAGTATAACTAAAAGAAAAGGTGTAGGGAGACCTCAGTCTCCTAATCATGTCGATAGAAATAATTCCAGTCCGTTTTAAGTGGACATCAATCCTCTATCTTCTATCTGGTTGCGACAAAAATATATAGGTTCTTTTTTTTATGGTATTACACATGTATGAAAAATTTAATATTTGAACGTCATTCTGTAAGTGTTCTATTTGCCTGTTTAAAAATCAATCGCCATACATATTAATTCGAATCTATGGCTATGTAATAATGCCTATTTCAAAAAAGAAAAATAAGGAGGTGGATATTGTTTTGAATGGCTTTTAATAGAAGCAGGACAGAGTGTTTTGGTCTTCACCACCGGAATGATGAAGTGAAGCCACATCGAATCATATATTACTACAGGTTTTTCTAAGATGTTTTATGAGATTTTCTTTAATCAATTTTCTAAAAATAGTGCCGGGAAATATTGTTTCTTATAGAATAAGAAAAAATCCAAAAAAGTGACTTTTACTTTTTACAGCCATCGTTTGAAAGATCGGTTGACACTTTTGAGTCGAATACCAATAACTCCTCAACGGTTAAATGTAAAAATCTGAGACTTCGGTAGCTTTTTAGATCTTTGGTTGACGATTCGGATGCACATCTGATAATTGAAATTTCTCTGCAGTTACTTGACATGGTACGTTAATTTTCAAAAAGGTTGATTGAAAACTTTGAAAAAACCAGATCAAAAACCTGTAATATTCGATTCGATGCGTCTTCATCTCCTCTTTCTAAGGGTGAAAACTCATAACTGTCCATCTCGTTTCAATTAAAAGTTATTCAAAAAATTGCCCACTCGTCTTCTTCTTTGAAATGAACATTAGGAACTATGTAAATACGATTTTTTAAGTTTCCATCCATCTTAATAGTGTTATATAAAAAAGTTCAAATATTATTATACAAGTATTTCTATCTATTATATCTATGAATAATGGACTATATGAATTACAGGTTAATAACAATAGCAATACAAAGAACCTTTCGAAGTAGTTTGTTTTCAGAAATAGTTCAAAAATCTTTTTAACATACCACTTAAATACTATTTGCTAACCATCCAATTAAACAAAAACGATCTTATTATTTTATATATGGCATATTTCGAGAACAACAAAAGTCACATATCTTGCGTTTTGTCTTCAAAACAAAGAACTAACATTGATTGTTTTCAGTACAATTATATTAGTGTTCTACATGGGTACGACTTTTCAAAACTGAACCTGGATCGGAGTTAATTGACATCAGGCAGATACTTTAAGTCACAGTGCAGTTTTCTAACTTTTATCTTACCTGAAAAGGTATACTATTTAATTTCTTCCACGAACAGTAACACAGAAAAAGGATATCATCTCAAATTGCACAACGAAACCAAGTGAATCACGATTTAGTTAGTATTTTTCCGCTTATAAAACCGATCAATTTCTCGATGTATACATTTTCATATTGCTGATGACGCTGAAATGAAACACAGTGTTGATGTCAACCGTTATAATTGTGGATACATACATGCATCCTTTTTCCATCATAATAATACATGTTCATCTCTTCAATAATCCATTTCGTCTTCATGTATTCAGTTACATCATCATATGTTTCATCCGCATCTGTAGATGAGTCTTTATTAAAAATGCAATTTTTTTTAGTAAAATAGTAAAGCTTTCTCCTTCTATGATCTGTTCTTCCAGTACAGTAAAATTTTACGTCATATCAGCAAAGAAAAATTTCTTTCATTAGGCAAGTCAAACTAGATCTCATATAAAATGATCAATATCGAAAAGTAACATTTATTTTTTTTAAATATTTGATGAATATTAATCAATAATCACTATCATAATCATTAGGATCCTTACAGCGGCAATACAAGACGAATACTAGTATAAAATAATGCCGAATAGGTCAGTGTTTATTTCCATGTTTGTCAATACATATTTCATGTTTGTTTTGAGAGTTTCTTCATCATAACGAATGTGTTCTGTCTCTGATAGCAATTTTCTTCAGTTGTATTTTTGATTATTGTTCCAAACTTCTATATCAGGTATCCAGTAATATGCTTTTAATACAAATTAAAAGTTTGAAATAATAAAATATATTTTGAAAACGTCAAAATCTCATTAATTGCTATTTCGGATCTGGATATGAGATCATACCCGAGACCTGAATCTCTCCGACGAGTTTGAATCCAGACAAGGTTCAGGATATCCGACCCGGTAGCAGAACGCTAAATTAGATATTCGTATTACATAAATCATTCTATTTTTAATTCGAATATAACAATAAAATTTTAGATAAAAGCAAATTGCCAAATATGAAAAAAAAAAGTTCGTTAACCATATAAAACTATTTCTTTCTTCAATACTTTGTTGACTCTTTTGAAAAATTTCGTGCGTAATAAACATTAACTATTTCCCATTTACAACCGGAATTTAAATCGATGTAATCTCATCACCGGTCATATATATATATATATCGGGATATATATAAATATTACGAAAAAGAATAAATATATTAACAGAATGTCTAATGTAGTTAAAGTAAACAGACATATCGAAAAAAACGAAAGAAAGAATATTGTTCCGATTTCCGTCGTATGTCAATAAGTTTATTCAAATAAATTCAAGTCATTTAATCTTTCGTTATCAAAAATTGCCTTGAAGCAATTCTATTTGCTTTGAATTGACAGTCTTCGAAAAGATTTCACCTTTGATGTTTTCTTCGAAAGAAAAAAAAACAGAAAAGCAAATCAATCCATTTTTTTTTTCTTCATCTCAAATATTTTTATTTTTATAAATTCTTTTCATAACAGATTAATTAACTTGTTCAAAGAGAATCATATATATTCCCAAAGAAGCCATCATTTATTATCAATATGACCTTGACAAGTATGACTTTTTTTTTTTGTCAAACATATTTCACATTTATATTTTCATTTTTTTTTTTTCGTCGCACAAATTTCTTTTTTTTTTAAATTTATATATCAAAGCTGCTATTTTTCTCACCATTTTACTGATATGAATGAAGTGTTCTGATAACTGTTCACTCTTTCATTCGTTGATAAGACTTGACTAATAGAAAAAAGCAAAAGAAGTAGAAATTGAATAAGCACGTGTCCATGTTCTACTTCCCTCTTTCATCATTGATATTCTTCGAAAGTATATCTATTACTAAGCAATGACATGAACATACAATTATAAGATAGAAGAAAAAGAGCCGAAGGCGTGGTTACTAAACAATATATATGAAACTACTATAATCGTTTTTTCTTTCTATTCCGCCTTTGATATCTACTCATATTGATCCATTTTGTTAAAGATCAAATAAGCTTTAAATTCTAATAATATACATGATTATTTTAATACTTTATTTAAACTAAAATTCAACATTTATTGCTCTTTTACAAGTCGTTATTTTTTCTTTATCTTTTATGTTTTAACAAAACAAGAATCAAAATGAAAACATTGTCTGATATTCAGGTATATGATGATGATGATGATAATGATCAAAAGCATGATTTGTTGAATAATAGTTCATATGTGGATCAATACTAACTGTGGTCATCATTGGTGGTGGAAGATGTTGAGAATAAACATCGAATAATTGATGATGTTGTTGAATGTCATTCGATGATGAATCGGAAGATGATTGTTTTTCACTACCAATTGATGTTGCCATCGATCTCAATCGTTCATACCAAACATGATCATCTTCATAAATTGTTGTCTGCTGCTGTTGTTGTTGTTGATGATGATTATAAACAGGCAAAAAATCATTTCCATTGATTGACATATTCCATTGTGATGGAATTTCTTGTAAATGATTCGAATTAAAATCAGTTGAATTTACATTTTCTTCATCATTATCATCATTATTACTATTATCACTATGACAAATAGGAGCCGATAAATGGTTATTTATTGTTGAAATATTAATTGGAATAGTTGAACATGCTGGAGTTGAATTTGGTGATGATAGCATTTCAGGTATCCATACATCAGCAGTAATAACAACAATGTCCGAATGATAGATATTACAACCAGGTGCAACAACAGATGAATGATGAACCAAATGATGTAATGATGCATCATACCATGAAAGAGAATGACCCATAATACTTTGTCCTTAATAAAAATATACAATAAAACATTAACGATTTGTTAATATGAATAAAGAAATTTTATTTCATTGAACACCTTTTGTTTTTCTCTATTCAACGGTGAGAATAAACAAGCCAAAGGCAATATCAGAAAATAATCCATAATATAAACACATCTTAGGGTTTTTTTTTCGATACCGGTTAGTATCATTCAAGATGATGGGCCACTTTTCACTCTTTTATGTTATTGGATAGACAACTTGATTTTTTGCCCTATCGTATCATTTTGATATTAAGAAATAAAAACATACATCATATATCAAACAAAAATAGCGGTATAACACTCATCGATTAGTCAAGAGGAACTAGTTAGAATTATGTAATAATAACCTAACGAATAAGAAAAAGAAAACGACTAATTGAAGGCGGCATATATTCTTTTATTTTTATGGGAAGAACATAAGAAAAAAACAAAAGAGAGAGAGTGAGAAACAACCAAATCCAAATGAGATACGTGATGATTTACTTATATCGGTTAGTGTCACTATAGTAAAAGATCAAATGTATACAAAGATTAGAACAAAAAATTTGACCGACTGATTCTAATGACTGTTGGATATTTATATGATAAATGGGCGGAGGCACGCGACTACTGACCAGCTGGGACAATAGAATAAGGGAAAAAACAATAGTTCGAGAGTATGAGCTTCTTTATTTAGATATATAGACGAGAAAACAATTCTCATTAGTTTGAAATGATGATAAATGGATTTGAAGTGGAAACGATAGATACTTGTCTAGAGAGAAAGATAGAATAAACACTTTTATTTTTCATTTTTTCCTCCTTCTTGTCATCATCGTCCGGCAGCTGATTTTTTTATGTTACTAATTTTATTTTTTTCTCAAGTATATTGGATCATTATCATTTGTCCATTTTTTCGACTAAATTGTTTGCTTCCTTTTTGTTTCAATCTGTTTATATTTAAACACTCATCATATTCATCTTGTTGGCAAACAAATAATAATGATGATGATGATAATATTATCGACATATTCACACTGTTCAAGTGTTCGATTAGGAATATCTTATTTTTTCTTGCCTTAAGTCAACTCAATACGAAAAATACAAAAATAAAAAGTATTCCCTAAAGAGAACTTAACAATAACAAGAATAACTACTGTTTTTTCTAACGAAAAAAAAAATGAAAAGAATCATGTTTTTATCTTACATATGTATGTCAATAAATAAATATATAATGAACAAAATCTAATGGGAGTAAATCGGATAGTTTGTAGATTTAAATAAACATACACATGTTGGATCGGATAAAATAAAAAATACAAATAAAAAAAAATAATTCACCGGTTTGTTTGATGAATTAAAGAATACTTTATTCCGACTGGTTACTTAAATAAGAGTCATAGAAAAAAATTTTTGTCTGATCTATTTACGCTTATTAATTTAATTCATCAAATCTAATTAGATATGTTCTTACCTTGATCATTATCGTCATTAGCTATTGGTGTACAATCAAGAACAATTTTTTTTCTTGTTAATACAGGACAATTATTTCCATGAGGATGAGATGGATGTGAACGAAAACGATGGGACGGTTGAGGTAATGGATGTATTGAATCTGTTTGTGATGTACTACTTAATAAACGATTAAGAAAAGCTATGTAATCAATAGCTAAACGAAGTGTATCAACTTTTGATAAACGTTTTTCATATGGATGTACAGGTATATGTGTACGTAAACCTTCAAAAGCATCATTTATTGATTGCATACGTTTTCTTTCACGTAAATTAGCTGCATGACGTTGACCAGAATTTTGATTCGGATCCATATGATTAACATCATCAATATCATATGCATCAAATTCATCATATGTATGAATTGATTTACTTGATCGTTTAATATTTGATCGTCTTTTAATTGAAATTGATTTTCGACCATTTCGTTTTGATGATGATGTTGTTGATCGATTGTTATATTTTTTTTGCGTTGTTGTTGTTTGACGATGATGATTATTAGAATAATCTACCATCATTTCATTATCATCATCATCAAATTCATCACTTTCATGATCAGAAAATACTTTCGAAGCTGTTGGCATTTGATCAGTTTGATTTAAGAATAAACGCATTAATAGTATTTATGTTTGATAAAAAAAAAAAGTCGTTTGAGAATAATCTAATCTTTCTTTTTTTTTTTTTTTTTTCTTCTCCTTCTTCTTCTCTCTTTGCTAGCAATAACAATAATATCACTGCAAATATATGAAGACGAGAGCAACCGAATAACAGGATAGGATAGACAAGAAAAATAGTGACCAATGAGAAGCATAATAGAAAAAATATAAATATCTATATGCACTTTAAGTAAAAGAATGAGAACAGACAAAATAAATCTTGATCGCCAAATAAAAGAAAATTCGAATCTTGTTTTTTCATTTTGATTATTTTCTTCATATTGATTTCTTACCTATTGGTATAAAAAAATATGAAAATAATGATAGTTATTTCTTTCATGTTTTGATTTATATATATATGTATGTATGTAAAGTCATACAGCAGATTTTTCTTGTTCGCACAAACCTTTTTTCTCTCTCTTTCAAAAAAATCGGTTTTGTTCTCAGCGATTAATTAATCAAAATTATGAATCATTGTCTTCATTTAAACATAAGAAAAATAAAATAAAAGATTTCATCATCGTTCATTATATACGAATGTTTTTACCTGAGATTATGATTAGCGATGCTTGATTACTTTTCTCAATGATGATGATGATATGTGTGTATATATGATTGAAATTAAACGACACTCAATAGTGAACATATAGTGTATACACGAGTCTCCTTCAGGGCACTAAATATAGCCAATGAAGAAAAAGATCAACGACCGTAAGCAACTTCGAACTGATCACATAGTTGTTAATCTCTTGACGAACAATACATGAATTACGTATTTTTATTGTATTGAATTGAATGAGAGGAGGAGAGAGGGAGGTAATTCAATGTGTGTCATATCAAATTTGATTTTTTACTTTTCTCTGCTTCATTCAAGTGTTTGACTGTACAATGCAGGTGGGTGGAACAAGGAACAGTTAATTAAAAAACATACTCTTCTATTCGAGCTCAATAACAAAAAGAAAATGACACCTGGTTATATCGACTAAACGACAGCTAATCATATGTTTACTAAATGGTATTGTTATTTCAGCGTGAACATGACCACACGTTGTTAACGGATAATTTACTCAAGCAATATATATATATTCGTCTTTCGTTTCTTGACAAACATAGTTATTTGTCTATTGAGCAGTAAGAAAAAGAAAAGATCTGTAAATTAATATTCATACTGATTGGAAAGCTAAACGATACTTGATTTAAGAGAAAAACAATGTTAGATATGCAATTTAGGACAAGAATAAAATGAAAAGTTTCTTAAATTGTAATAGTTTTATGTATAAAAGTCAATCAGGAAATTGTTCAGTCATGTTTGATTGACTTAGAAGATGACTTTACATTAGTTGATGGATCTCATTTTGTGAAAAATATAAATTAAAAAAAAAGAAAACAAACATTTACCTATTACAATACATGAGAAAAGTTATTCGTCTGTTTAATTTTATGCCGTATTGTTTTATGAAACTCTTTTATAATAACAAGCAACAAGTTATCCGATAGAAAGAGCGGATCGATTCAGAATTCTATCGAAGAAGTAGTGATTTCTAAACGATGTCGTCCAAAATAGATGAGTTTTTTTTATACTACGTAGTCAAGTGTTGCTTTTGGGCACATCCGTTGCTCTGTATGATTTTAATACCGAAAACTATAGAAAATCGTAAACAAAGAGCTTTCATTACAATAAAATACAAAGGTCTAGACTATGATTAGATTGAGAAAATTTATCAATAACAGAGTCAATTTTATCTCAAAACCTTCCATTGAACTTGCTTCTTGTTTGAAACATATCAGTCTCAAAAATAAAAAATTTCTTTTGTTACCAGAATAAGTGCTAGAATTTTTCGTGAAATACTTAATGGAAAGATTAGATCTGTCTTAGATGGCATTCAAAAACTCTCGATAGATATGAAGCTTATCCTTGTTTGAGTCAAAGTTGTAGTGCTATTTTATTTTGAAAGTAATCATCAACTATCATAGGAGTAGTTATTAATATTCTTTTTGAATCAGTTGCTGTCAAATTATTACAGAGCTTAATCAAACATTAAAGCCGTACTTTAATAAATGAGACTGATATCTCTTGCCGACTTTCTCAGTTTCAAAATATGAATCTATTTGTGCAAACATTTATTAGAGAAACTCTCGAAAAGACTTCTTTTTTCCTCTATTTACAAGAGATTAGTGATTAGTGTATTACCAGTCATGATCTGAGTTTTGTTTCCGTCAATATCTGGCACCCTTGATGTACATAAACAATTGAAGAATCAAGGTTTTAACTATGTATTGGCTATTCTCAGACAAAGAGTCAAAGCACAGTTTTTTCTTGTTGTTCACCGTTCCCATCATTTGATATTAAATAAGTTAAGCATTTTCACTTAGTTGAAGAGAGTGTATGTTAAAAAAAAAGGAAATTATCAAAACAAGGGTAACACCAAAATCTTCAGCTGTATGGAATAGTTTTAGTTGTATTTCTGTACACGAGATCAACCAAGTAGGATTTATGAGTCCACGTTTTTTGTGGAGTCTGATCTGAGCTTGAAAGGGTTCATAGCTCTCTACTGGTGATTGCCAAACTGTCCAATAATATTCTTATTTAATACACATTTTCTATATTATTAAGCATTCTAACAAAACCATAATTGTGATAATTTGACTATGAAATAAATAAATTTCAAGATAAAATTAATAAACTTCAAAGTAATATGAATGGTGTGTAAAGATTTTCGAAGAATAATAATCGTTTTTTATGCCAAATATTTTGATGATTTGATAGGATTTATAGTCTGAATAATATTATCTCACAATGGAAGTGTGTGACCTGTTGAGTAAAAAAGTGAAACATATTAGAGTCAAAAGAAAGCTTTCAACAAGAAACTAACGAATTTAAAATATGAGCTGTCCATGCCTTTCCTGAACAAAGATATTCAATTTTTAAGTTATGCAGTATATGTGTATTGAAGCATGATGATATATGAGCTATTCATATACACTTTTCAATATAACCATCAAAATTTTTTTCGGAAAGCAAGTTCTAAAATCTTGGTAAGCTTTGTTGATAATATTTAATCTTCTCTAGATACGACTTCTTTTGATGTTTAATAGAATCAAATAGGAAGTATACTGATGATTACGTAGAGAAATCCACCTTTTATCGATACTTTTGACTTTATTTTACATGAAATTAACAAATTAAACAAAATAATATTTTACAAGACGTACTATAGATGGAGATGAAGATCTTCAATCAAATGATAATAACAAAGGTGTAGTTCACACCAAGCACACATGAGAAGGATTTGTTCCTCACAACTAATAACTGAACAATAAAGGTCATAGAATTTAAAACAAACGTCTTTTGGCTTGCTTATTTCACCTATTGTTTCGTTGAGTATTTTTGCTTGCACGAATCCAGACTTTATGAGATTTCTAAATTGTGGAGCAGATAGTTGATTGTAAATGATAGAATGCATATTTATGAAATATTGACGATTGTTCAAGTTCATCCCTGTTCGATTGATATGAACATAATGCTCAATTTTTTCATGAAAAAATCGCCATGAACGAAATAAGGACAGATCTTGCGGTTGAATATAACCAGTTGATCCTTTAGGAGAAATCAATAATTGACTGTCCTGATGTGGAAATACTGGTCTAATTTGTTTTAGATCAGTTTAAGTTGTCCAACAATCAAGAAAAAGAAGAAATTTTTTTCCCACTAAAGGGCGTAGAACTTCATTTGAAAAAGTACGGTGTTTTTCATCGCTGCTTTTTCCAGACTTCGAAGTCCGTACGACGACATTTGGTGGTACAATTAAAACTTTCTCTACTCTTTTACCAAGTTCATTTTTCTTTTCTTGGAGGATGAGGAAGAATTTGTCTAATAATTGACAATCAACTGATGTAACAGGCTGCACGGTGTAAGAGTGTGTTATATTATTCTTGTTTTTAACAGGAACTTCTGTTGTTCTTTCACCAACAAACGAAAGAGTTCTTGGAGAAATATATTCTTGTTGGACTGAACAATGATCACTGTTCAAAATTTGATCAGAAGAATAATTCAAAACTAATGATCTTTGATTTTCGATCCAGTCGTAAGCATCTAAAATACACATATGAGACGATTGCAAACCATTTGTACAATTTGAACAACAAAAATTGCTAAGCTAATATCTTGCAGAATTCTCAATCAAATTCAACTATTTTATGAAAAAATATCCGTCACAGGTATGACTAGTTTGGCTGCTAAAATCAGCGCTCTAGCTATTGTCTGTCATTAGAGGACGCGAAAATGATATCGCTTTTCCACTTAAATTTCACATGGACATGTCCAATGGCGACAAATTAAGCTGATTTTTTTTCTGTTAAGAAAGCGTTTTAAAAATTCATTTTAACTCATTAGTATCTCCGTAAGATTGGCTAGAAAATTTGCTATTTGATTCAGCCAAGTTGCTGTTATTTAGTTTGTACTTACTCGAAGTATTCGTGGTCGCAGATTTGGTAAAAAATGTCCCGTCACGCAGCCAACCGTTTTTTCCGGAATGAAAACTTGAATGAAGCCCTACTCAATTATAGCCAGAAGGTAGACCAAAGAAAAGAAGATGTGATGTGAAAGAAATCTATCATATTTTTTATTAGATCAAAAATAAAAAATTTCAAATCTGAAAATGTGCCTTCCTCGCTAAATGTCCCGTCACGTGTTTTTTGACAGTGAAACCGATGTTTTTCCACCAAAACAGAAAGAAACCTAGATGTATCTTATATGACTCGAAAGCTCTTTGAAAGGCTCGTATAACTAGATGTGCAAAACCCTTGGCAAGTGACGAAGACGAGTTTACTCATGTTAAAATAAGTTCTCTTACGTTCTTTATGCGTGGATCGAAGAAAAACCATATTTCTTAAGAAAATGACGGAACGTTTTCGGAGAAAACAAAGTGCCAAATAAAAAATCATGTCATTTTTGAGAG